GCTTTCCCAAAAGTTGTTCTCATCCAGGCACAAGTGGACTGCAGTTTCGACCTCGCATCGGTCTTATTAATACCTTCAGCTGGATTCGAAATTCAATGGAAACGTCAGCTCAACTCGTATCATTGTGGGAAAATTCTACTACCAGTTCTTCATCACCCTAGACGAAATAGCGTGAATACATCTCATATTACTGATTTACTGGTAGTCATGAAAACAATACGTAATTCCTCAGAGTTAGCCTTAAGGGAGGATAAGGGAAAACGTTTCACAGCTCTTAAAAATGGATGTTAGCAGACAAATTGCAAGTTTACTATAGCTTGGGTTACCTAAACTAGGCGTAGAACGATATCTTAAGACAAGACGACTCTTTACATCTTTTTCTTCATTACCTTGTAAAAAATTTAATTTTGCAATTAGATTTACGCAGTAGAATTACTTTCACGCAAACCAATAAAGTAAAACATCGTAATTTCGTACTTTGGTTAAACTCGGACTGGGATTCATTATGCTTACATTTCTACTGCAATGAAACGATTTGCTGGCTACCCAATCCATTAATTCGCTATACTTTCTCCTTACGCCACTGGCATATGAAAAAAGGAGATCCATAAAATGCTGCTTGGGTTCGTGTAAAAAGCAGACCTTTTTTAACCTCAGCCAAAAATTTGGAAGCATAGCCGAGCTCCATTATGGTTCTGTAAGCTAGTTTAGCTTACTTACATTTCGAGTGAAAGTGATGGGTGAAGAGATTCTAAGGTCGGTTCTACCAGAAGATGACGGCGGATTGCTCTTGACCAGCTTTCGATTGGCTTTACTAGAAGATTCATGCTGACGCTGTTTCCGAGGTAATCTCCTTCGATTTCGGTGATAAGGTGCTAAGATTTCGTGCGTCATGTGATGAACATCATCAGAGCAAGGTAGCTTCTTCGCAACAAAATTCAAGCTAAAGAGTCAAGAAAACTCACCGGCAAATCCCTAACAAGTGGTATATATACTCTACATCTGGCCGCTTTGATCAAGTATAAAGTGATTTGGTTGGTTGAGGTCATATGTCATCTTCGATGCCTGTGAGTGTGGCTGTCTCTGTATGTGTATGTGCCTGTTTGTGTTCGCAATCGGAGTGATGGTTATAACATGTATGTAGAAAGGGAGAGATAGGGGTCATCATACCTTGATGGCAAAAGGCAGACGTTCCTTTTTGCTTTCCTAATTACTTTGAGCTATCACTTCGGGTTTCATGCATAAGCGAACACAAACAGGCACATACAAATACAGATACAGACACACTCACATGCATCGAAGTTGACATATGACCTTAACTAAAAAAATCACTTTAAACTTGATCAATATGTAGAGTATAATTACAACTTTTTAAGGATTTACCGGTGAGTTTTTTTGACTCGCTAGCTTGATTCTTGTTGTGACGATGATACCTTGCTCTGATGATGTTTGTCATGTGACGGACAAAAGCTTAGCACCTTTTTACCGGATTCGAAGGAGATTCCCTCGGAAACAGCGTCAGCATGAATCTTCCAGTAAAGCCAATCGACAGCTGGCCAAGAGGAATCCGCCGTTGTCTTATGGTGGAACTGACTTTCGAATATCTTCACCTAAAACTTTCACTCGAAATGGAAGTAAGCTCATCGATTATGAAACAAGATATTCCTCTAAACCCAACTTTTCTTCGCATATATTCTGTAAATTCGGTCTGAGAAAGTAAAAGTACCAGATTTAATTAAGAAGCATCATTTTTCCTTAAAATAACTTATTTTAAGGCTAAAGATTTGTCCAGACAGGACCAGGTAGAAAACCGAAGTTTCGAGAAGAATCGTGAATGTGTCCATCTCCAACTTCCGTCAATTCTGATTTATTATAATTAAATCTTTAGTCGACTTGGATGCATTACTCTGACTACATTGTTGGTCAGAGCTTAAAAAAATTAATAGTAGAGAGTGAAAGATCGAGCTTGCTAGCATGAGTTACAAAGTACTAAGGGGAATTGTCCGGATGAGTTGGTTTATAGCAGATCAGGTGATGTTGAAATTCACATCTTCCCCGTAACCTTCTGGCAGCCGTGGCTGTGTTTCTGCTTAACGCTAAAGACCTGGCCTCTAATCCGATTGGGGAGGCCGATGAAACTGATGCTATGCTAGAATTGCTTAGCAGCCTGAATGAAAGACATTTTGGATAGGCAGGACTAAGCTATGCATAAAGGACCCTACAGTCCACTTTGGAAGTTAAACGGAGAAACACCTAGGTGGATAGTTTCAGTACCATAAAATGGTAAGGCAATTCTAACGACTTCAAAATCTCTAACTTTGAGACAAAATTGAGTTTTCACAGGATAATGTTTTCCAGAAGTGGCATGATTCGTTCGGATGAGGCATAGGATAATTAAAGTTATTATATTAGGATAAATTTCGGCAAATAGGTAATTAACTTTGTCGATTGTCCTTCATCACCTTAAACGAAATAGGGTGAATATTTCTCATATTACTGATTTACTGGGAGTTTCGAAACTCTACTCAAATACGAAAATAAATGTTTGCCTAATCGCTGATCCAACTAGAAATGAGATTTGGTAGAATCGTGGCTTGCCTTGAAAGTCACATCTACCCTGTGGCCGATTGGCGCTCAGGCGTGACGGTAGCATAGAGGCAAAGGATCGTCACCCCATGCACGCGACTTGCTTTTGAACCTCTTTTGAAGTGATAATGGGACATATGCGAAGTCAAAACTGCAATGTATTATTGATAAAAGGACCTTATGGGAACCAGGGCTAGGCGAAATACACTGGCATCGTGAGACTTACTGATTCCGCCCTTACATCATTTTAATCAATCAAGAATAACTCAATTTCCTATTCATGAATAAATGATGACTTGGAAGCACACTTGCATGAGACACAACACCGGGATCGTGACTAAGATAGTGATTGTCTTGAGATAAAGGGTCGAAGAAAAGATATTGGAGTTTACAGGTACGCTTTCGGCAGATCGCTCGTCGATCATCTTACGGCGAACCTGGTTCGAGGATCTCTGTTCCGGCGCGCAACCTCGAGGGGGTAAGAGCACGACGGCAATGCGTTTTAGAGGTCTTTAGATAAATAAATAACACATAAAGTGTTGTAAATCAAATAAAGCACTAATAAGACAATAATCATGCCGGATGTGCTTTATGACAAATGACTATTTCGAAGGTATCAAGACTAAGATGGTGTGGCCCTCTTTTCAATTTATAGAAGCCGGTTGACCTAGTTTTCACAACTTGGTCTTGTTGTCAGGGTGGCTTATTTGAATGCACTTTGTCCGGAATCTTCTACCATACTATCTATCATAATTCCCAGCAGCAGGCCGTGAACTTGGCACACTCTCAGACGTTTCGTCGGCATCGTCAGGGCTTCTTTCCTTCTTCAGGACCAAGCTACAACTCATCAAAGAGGCAAGTTTTGACGAGTTATGGCTTGGCAAGACTCACTGATTATGTCGACTACGATGCCGATGAAACGTCTAAGAATGTACCAAGTTTACGGCCTGATGCTGGTAATTATGATAGGTACAATGTCAAAGGACTTGAGACAAGGTAAGTCCAACTAAGTCTCCCTGATTATTTTGAGTTTGCATATGTTCGTCTTAAGAGGTTATATAATAAAAAATTATCTTTTGCTGGGCTCTTTCATCAAATGTAATTAATTTTAGTTCACTTTCCTCTATTTTTCGTTCAGAGGACGATGTGGAGATCGATCGAATTCGTCAGAAGGCTCGCAACATGACTAAAAACTTCTTGGATGACGTCGATTCCGCTCGAGCCAGAGCCAAAGAGCGAGATGAAGCAACAATCAAGTACATTGACGATCTTCTGGTAAGCGGCGATATCGATGCATGCGGTTATAAATGTATGAGGGCAAACGACTGTCGGCTCGCCATAACAGCCAGTCGGAATGCAAAGCTGTGCAGCTTTGATTCGAAAATTCCTCACATACACCCTGCCTTGACATCATTCCGTGGTTCTACTTCAAAAATTGTTTTTGGCCTTCTGGCCCTCTGTTTCGTGTCCCATTAAGTATTCCTTCCAATGCTTCTTGTGATAGCCTGGTTAACTCATGGTGTGATTTGCCTGGAGTTGGTCATCAGGCTATGATAAACTCTGAATGAGAACCCATGCTAGGCTACAGGCCAGAATAAGGTCTCAGGGAAGAAGCAAGCTTTTACTTTGAATAATAATTGCCTAATTATCCTATTGGCCAAGAGAGTCTTTTTACTCTCAAACTAGCTTAGACATTGAGAAGAAAAGTTGTATTTCGGCAATCACTTGGTTTATAATTGAGCATCGAAGATGGATCGCAACAGAAAAGCACAGCGGATTCCTCTTGACCAGCTATTGATTGGCTTTAATGGAGCCTCTTCGTTGACGCCTTTTCTGAGGCATTTATTATCAATTCGAGGTGAAGACGTGCTAAGCTTTCGTCCGTCGTGTGACGGATATCATCAAGGCAGGTTATCATCCTTACAACCCTATTCAAGCTAACGGGTCAAGAAAGCTTAGCACGTCTTGACCGGAATCGAAGGTTATTGTCTTGGAAACAGCGTCAACAAGAATGTTCCAGTAAAGCCAATCGACAGCTGGTCAAGAGGAATCCGCCGTCACCCTTTGGCCGGATCGACCTTCGGATCTCTTCACCAAACAATTGCACTCGAAAGGGAAGATTGCTCAACAATTGTGCAACAAGTGATTCCTCGAAAGTCAACTTTGCTTCGCCTATACTACGTTCATTTATACCGTCGAATTTTGATTTTATTTCAAAGCATATTTGTCTTGGCATTTGTAATTTATTTTCCACTTTTATCCTTTACGTCCCAATACCCGTCTACTATTCGATCTCGGTATTTTTAATCTTTAATCTTTTGTCTTTTGTCCGCTTGCATGCACGCATGCACATCTGCGTCTATCTACTTGCTTTTGTTTTCTTTTGTTTTGGCAAGATACACCCAATTGTATGTGTTTCCATCTGGTTGCCTCGACATTAACCATCCTCTCATGGCTTTGCAACATGAATTGAAGGCTTATTCATTTATCTTTACCTCATGTGTGTCACCGATCCGTCACCACGGCAACTGTACATGTGACATACCTTTTTCGCACCATGTTCATTTTCATGCGACCGATTGATGGATATCATGCACCCTTTATCAGCTCGACTCGTTGCGTGTGAACCGGTTCGCTCGCCCCTTGCGCCTAGGGCATGTTCGTGGCTATCGAAGCGAGCAAAACGCCATCGGCCCAGGAGGACGTGAAAACATGTACCGTCCGGACGTGGATAGAGTGGGTGTGAAGACCTTTAGACCTTAGTTGAGGCGAAGTGCCATTTGAGCCAAGGGTTTTTACGGGAGGAGACTCTGGTTACTCTCGCTTGCTGAAGAAACGATAGTTCAATTTTCCCATGATCGCATGGATAGGTCTTGCCTTACAAAAGATATCATCATTCTGGTTGGAGGGGATTGTAGTCGTGACCTCGCCTGGGCAGCATCAGCACCCTCATCGGGACTCAAACCCAGATGGTGCAGTCTACAATCTTCACACTTAATCACTACGCCAGACTGTTACGAGTGCCAAATGGGTCAAAGGGCAGACGTGATTTCAATGAAAAAAGTCCGGAACTTTCCCAATTCACATTTGAGGGTGGAGTGTCATTGAGGCAAATTTGGTTTTGAGACTACCCGTGAATCAGTTATATGTATTTTGCTATTGCCATCGCCAATGCCATTTATATTTGTGGGGAGTAGGTTTTGAGTCTATCAATCTACTCGTGAGTAAGACTTCTATTTATCCTGGTTCGCATAAGGTGATGGATTTTCCCGCGATTAAATCCATTTTCTTGAAACATTTAACAGCGCCCAGCCTAAATAATAGAGGAAAGGTAATAGAAAATTAGTCTCGGAAATTGAATCAACTCCAAAATTATGATGTCTTTTTGCAAACACAAATAGGGCATTTTTCGTTTCATCAGTCCGATTTCATTTAAGGTGATAAAAGAATTGGCTAGATAGACATTTATTGTAGGTGGATTCGTTTTTTTAATTTTTCTCCTCGAATTTTTAAAGCAATATCGATGGTTGCATGCGGAAGTAATAAATTGTGGCGTCCTTAGGTGGTCTTCTACCATCTATTATTTATGGTTATTACTCAATAACTAGCCAGAGTCGCAAATACTACTCGTTACATGCATAGTAGTATTATCGATTGTAACGGCAAATACTAGTTAGTCTTATCGAAACCTGTCACAGTAGCAGTGCAAGTTTACAGATGCCTGGCTTACTTTGAAAATCACATTTGACCAGAGACCCACTGATACACGTGGCTGTGTGAAGAGCCGGTGATCTGTTGAAGGTTGGCGCTTACGACTCGGATTTAAATCCAATTTTGGGTACTGATTAAGCCAAAGCGAGGTCGAGACAGCAGCCAAATGCTGTTGAGGCGGCAAGACTGAGTGAACTTCAGGAAAATTTTGAGGCTGTATTAATTGAACGAAATTTAACTATCAGGTCTTACATCGCCTTAAACTACCTCAGGTGACCTGGTTTCTATCGTGAAAGCTCCTCACAACTCGAAATCCATTTGCATCTCCAACTGGCAACTACTCTTGATTTCTACACTCTCTGCCGTCTTTCACTCGACCATCACATGTTCAGTCTCAGTTGGGTCCGACTACAATCAAATCACATGCAAGTTCCGTTGGTATCCTCCTTATTTCAAACGCCTTTCGCAGATGCACATCCGGCACCGACCAAGCCGTCTTGAGCGTCTCGGACGCCAGTCAGTTGCAGGCTGTCTCGATTGATGGAGCTTTTCAGAGCCTACTTGACATAGCAACAGGGCTTGAGACTGCGTTGCTTGTCTCTCGGTGACTTTGATCCGATGAAAGGACTCGAGTGAAGCATTCGTGTTTAGACCTTCGTTGCAGAAGATACCTCGAAGAAAAATACGCTAAAATTGGCATCGTCGGCCTCTAAGACGCCGGCAGGGCTACCTCCTCCACTACCGACTTTTAAGCTGAAAATAGGAAGATGACGATAGCAACTTTGTCGGCAAAACTCACCTTCAATGACGCTAGACTAATCTTCAAAGTTCAGAGATTGGTTGTATCCCATACTTTATCTGGCTTGAGATTGCCCAACCTGGCTTGTTCCCAGTTAGACGATCCGGAAAGATTTCTGCCACTTTTGCTCACATTCATTTGCGCCCAAAAGTTCTGTAGGCCCTCCAGATCAGCTTTGCATTTCGTCGAACTCACAACCAAACATCTGTATGTGGTCTGACCTCGTTCCCGCAACTTGGTCTTTTTGTCGGTGCATTATGTCCCAAGTTTATGCCATAGTAGTTATCATAATTCCCAGCATCGGACCGTAGAATTTGTACTTTTCCGGATGCTTTTCCGGCATCGGAGTCAGCATCTTTACTGAGTCTTGCCATTCTCAGCACCAAGTTACACCTCGTCAAAGAGACAAGTGAAGTCAATCCCTTTACCTACTTTCTGCCGAACCCCTCCGCAGAAGGTGTGCTCTTTGTGCCGAGTCCATTGTGACGTCATCACACCTGCTGGGTTTATATTGTCCCTCTCATTCTCGATTTTTTGATCTGATTTATGTAAATGAACTAAGCCCACGGTCCGACTGGGAATTATGCTAACTACTATAGCAAAAAACCTCTGATAAGGTGTCCTGACAACACGACCAAGTTGCGAAAACTAGACCATACCATATATATACATCAAAAGGAGACTGGGACAAAATTAGAGGCCATGACGTCTTGATCTTCACATTTACGTTTAAACAAGCATATGGAAATATAAGATGCATTCATCCTATTTCGTTTAGTTTAATTTTCCCATAATCATATGAGTAGACATGACATTTCTCCACAAGGTGTTCTCATCCATGATGGACTGCAGTTTCGACCTCGCCTAGATCTTATCAACAGCCACAACGAGACTCGAACCGTGACCGTGCAGCGCGTAAGCTCGACACGTTAACCGCTACGCCCCATTGCCACTAGTGCTTTTGAGTTAGAGAGAAGATGGGCATTTCAAGTGAAACGTCATGTTACTCATGTGATTGTGGAAAAATTAAATTACCACTCCCC